GCCACTAGGTTGTGGTCACAACTTTTGTAAATATTTCATTTTTCTATAAATGTACACAAGCATTTCACTTTCTCTGGAGTACGAATATGATATGTATTTTGAACTTGTATGTTATTCTTTTTGCATATTTTTGTATAATGTTCATTAATCACTGTAAAGTGGAAATAAAGTATTTTTAGCATTATTAAAACCCAACGGTCGTTTTCATGGCCACCCAAGTTTTACGAAAAGATGCCTTCTGATACAGAAAAAGAAACGGTCAATTATTTTAAATTCATAAATAATGAAAATTATAAAAATGGTAGTAATTTCTGGTTTTATCTGAATACGAAAATAAATTTATGACACAAGGTTGTGTAATTATTGAAAAAAAAATTAAAATTTATAGATATTACGTGTACAATATAAATATCATGAACAATATAATTTGTCGGCTAAAAAGAAAAGAAACTGTCACTTTCACTTACAAGTTGACGAGATTAAGGTAAGTACATTTTGTTAAATATAATGAAAATAAATTTACAAGTATTTTTAAGTAATGAAATTTATGTACATTATGCTATAAAACTAGCAATTAGTCACAGCATCCGATAATAACGAAATCTCCGATTAAAAAAAGTACTTACATACATGTACATATAAAATTTCCAACAGTATAAATAATTATATAAGGTAGGATAACTCTTCCAATCCCTCTTGAACTTTACAAAATTCGTTCTCTAACCGAAGTTATTCTTGTATTTCTCTCTCTCGCTGTTCTAAAACACGTTTTCGAGACACAAGTTTTTCAATTATCTGTTCGTCCTCATCAATATTCATAGGTTCTACCTTTGCCTCTTCTTTTTCTTCATTATCTTCATCTCTTTTTTTTTTGTTGTTCTTGTTCTTGCTGTTTTTCGTTTTCTTGTCCTGTGGCTTCCCGAGTTCTTTTATGTTTACTAAAATAAAAAAAAATGATTACCGGTGATAAGATTTTGTAAACGAATTGAACTATTACGACTTAAAAAACAGTCTACAACATGAATGTTTGAGTACCTTTTCACAAATGACTCGATGAAGATGATAATTTGTAACACTTACAAGAATAAAAAAAATCAAGCCATCGTGTAAATATCTTTCCGTTTTTTATATACCTGATGATTAATGCCACCCTAATCTCTTCTCCATCGTTTAAGGAGGAGAAGGACCTGGAGCTGAAAAAATACTTGTCATTCATTTTTTTTCATATTTTGTATATTTTTAATTAAATATGTCCCACATATCCTAAAGCAGTTACGTCATTAGGTTTCTTACCTTATTTTGGAGATATTGATTGACATATACTATGCCCTATAGTATCTAAGTGGAGTTTTAATTCTCCATGTTTCCGGGCTCATTACTCTGTCCATAGTGAGATTTATTAAACATATATAAAAAATATTAAATTTGACATGTATCTTTTAAAATATTTTAGAGTATGAATAGGGTTTAAAATTCGAAAAAGCAATTTTCGTCAATCACACTGGATCTGGATAGGGAAAATTACGCACTTTTTAAGACAACTTAAACAACAAAAAACGTAATTTACAAAAAATTCTATCATTCAATATTTTTTAATTTATGCTGAAATGCAAATCCTTCATGTTATTGATTAACTGTAAAAATTTCAAATGATGAAGCTGACCTCAATATTTCACAGGACATCGTTAAAGAGGACATAAGCATGACAGAAACGTGTCATGTTACATTTCTCGAGTACGGGAAAAACCAATTACGACGTCACACGTAAGCTAAATAAGCAAAATAAGATATACCTACATAAGATTTCCGTCATCAGCCATGCAAAAATAATTTTTGTGTTCCCCGTTTCTCAAAAAATTTCATCATAGACTGATTATGACCTGTTTTTACATAATAATACCACCCATGTGTTCACCGAGTATGATCTTGCTGTACTAACAGATCGTGTATGACGTCACCGACTTGTTGGACGCAGTTAGGGAAACAGAGGAGTGGATCAGTCTTTTTCATAATTTGTTAATGCTTACAAGAATGTTAAAATTTTTTTAATTTTTTTTTATATAAGATGGTAATCAAAGTTAAAAAATTGTCAAAAATTTATACAAGAACTGATACTTTACATGTTTTGCACTGATATAAACGGAGACTATGACGTAGTTAAACAGAGTTATGTGACCATGTGTCCTTCATCCCCTTAAATCATTTGTGGTCCTGAGAAAAAGAGAATATTTTATATATATATGTAGAAATACACATTTCATTAATAATAATGGAAGTTTAAAAAAACAAATTGCCACTGTGAAAAAAAAGACACCTTGACCAACTTAAAGGTTTGATATATAATTCTTAATTTGAAACAGGAGGCCCAAAGGCCTTAACGGTCAACTGAGTATAAATTAATACAACACTGCAAAGAATCCATGGAAGTATAAAACAACTGATAGACGAAGCAATGTTGCCCAAGAACTTAGGTAATCAAAGATTACGAAGCTCACCTCGACGAATGTTATCAATAAGTAAGGCACATCATATTTTTTTCTATAGTTAGAGTAAATCCCAAGATCAATATCCATGCAAGTTTGGTTTAAGTAGGACTTAGTAGGACTTGGGAATGGACCTGCTCCAAAAACTTTAACCTGGTCACTCATCTGGAAAATCTAGGTCAGATCTAGCATCCGAAGCAAGTGTGGTAGTGTTCATCCCTAGATGCATCATCATGCAAGTTTGGTTCAGTTAGGGCTTATAGTTACTTGGAAATGGACCTGTTCCAAAAACCTTAACGTGGTCACTCATCTGGAAAATCTTATCAAAAAAATTTTAGTCGCCAGGCAATTTTTCTAAGGCGCCAACTTTAAAAGTTAATAGAATATAGGGACCCAGGACGTGCCTAAGAAACCACGACATGTAAATAATTTCCTCTTTTTTAAAATTTGCTTTCTTTTTTTTCAGAAAAAATGTTAAAAAAGTGAAAATTTCCGGAATTCGACGATTGCCAAGTCAATTTAAAGTGGTCGCCAATTTGGGGACTTATGGAAAAATTTTAGGCGCCAATCAAAAATTTTAGGCGCCATGGCGACAAAATTAGTCGCCAATTAGAGTCCTGATACAGATATAGATATATATATAAAGCACTAAAAACCAACAACACTGTATATCCTAAGTGTCGGATCTACTAAGTAGATACAAGGTCACGGATGGAAATTTATATAAAGCACTAAAAATGACCAACGACACGAACAATAATAATTGTCAAATTTTCGGGACAACCTGTCCCTTCCTCAGGACAAAGAAAAAAGTTAAAAAGTCATAAAAACAAAGGAAATAGAGAAGCAAAAACAACTAGCACTACTACTAAACTACCAAACACTAAATATTTACAAGGTTACATGTTTAATTTGGAGTTTATAAACAGTTGTGAACAAAGAAATCCGGAGCGCTATGAATTGCGTCCGGTCTATCGGGTGTACTCGGTGACACTTCACCTAAATATTTAGTGTTTGGTAGTTTAGTAGTAGTGCTAGTTGTTTTTGCTTCTCTATTTCCTTTGTTTTTATGACTTTTTAACTTTTTTCTTTGTCCTGAGGAAGGGACAGGTTGTCCCGAAAATTTGACAATTATTATTGTTCGTGTCGTTGGTCATTTTTAGTGCTTATATATATATATATATATATATATATATATATATATATATATATATATATATATATATATATATACAAAAAATGAAAAGAAATATCACAGTGTCCGGTAATTAATATGAAAATTAAAAATAACAAGGCAACAATGTTAGTAAAATGTAAGCGCTTTCATTATACTTCTTCAGACGTTTTACAATTCAAAACAATTCAAACATGTGACGTTATAACGCTACCTGATTAATAATTATAATAATTATAATATTAATAAATTATACTAATAATTATTAATTATTAATTCATCAGGTAGCGTTATAACGTCACATGTTTGAATTGTTTTGAATTGTAAAACGTCTGAAGAAGTATAATGAAAGCGCTTACGTTTTACTAACATTGTTGCCTTGTTATTTTTAATTTTCATATATATATATATATATACACTTAAATAAAAAACAGAATGCTACAGTCCAAATTAAATAAAATCTTTACTGTTAGCGCTTTCAGCCATGTTGGCTCTTCAGACAGTTACGAACGTTTTAAACTTTTCATAACTGTCTGAAGACAACAATGTTTTGTGCAATAATTAGGTAAATTAATGTGTCCGTCACCTGATTAACAAAGTCATATGACATAGCATAAATGCTTTATTATAATATCTGATTAAACTCTCTCTCTTTTTACAATTTGACTGCACATGTACACATAGATTACAATGAATTACACATAGATTACAATGAATTACACATAGATTGAAATGAAAAAGAATAGCTCATAATACAATAGTATAATTCTAATGCAAATTAAGCCGTCAGACAGCTTTAACATAACTGCGAAACAAATAAATATGTCTCACCATGGTCATACATTTTATAGATGCGTTGTTGCTGTCAGCTCAGCTGATCCACAGGTATAATCACACGTATTCCTTTATCCAATGATAAGCATTTTAAAAAATGTAGACTTTACAATCCACGTGATTAGGAAAATATTTAATAATGTAAATTTTTTAAGTACTCAATATTTATGTGAAAATGAGAAAGGTGAAAATAACGAACAGTGTTCGATCTTAAAAAAAATCTACAAACTTTACAAATCTGTGGACAGGGCATTAAACATGGACCCCCCAGAAATTCAAGAGGTGGGATTAGGTGCCTAGGATAAGTAAGCATTCCCTGTTGAGCCCAATGAATTTATCAGGTAGAACATTCCGTAGTCAAATTCAGTATTAAAACAAAGGCCAAGCAATTGATAAGAAACAAGTCAGCCAGGCCCCAAGACCATAAACTGAGAACAGACTTAAGTCAAAATTTCAAACTAATATAACTTTTGAAATAATTTTGATAATGAAGCAAAATTTATATCATATATTTGAATTTAAATGTTATATAAAATTGCAAATTTTTAAGCAAGTACATTAAATAAAAGTAAAGATATTAAAAATCAAAATTTTGACTTGTCTATTCTCAGTTTATGGTCTAGAGGCCAGAATACCACCAAATGATAGGTTACATCTGTTTACAACAGTGAAAACAATAAGTATGAGATCTGAGTGATTTTCGTTAGATAAAATTCACTAGATTTTCTGGAAAATAACGTCAAACACGAAGTGATCCATCCATTTCCAGTCTGATAACCGATCTTTTAAGTTTTGAAAGTAAATGTTACAGATTTCATTAGCCTCCTTATCATTTCTGATTCCACAGAGTCCGGCCATTATGCTGCTATTCATCCAACATCTCAGACTAGCAATGTCCTCTGGAGTAAAAAAAATTAATTGGAGTTTACATTTCTTTAGTCATTATATTATAGTAATTAATTAATACAGGTTTGGATACAAATTTAAATAATGCACGTTATGATTACTTTGTGAAAATGTATGCAGATTATGCCATTCAGAAGTGAACATCATTAACGTAGGGCGCGGGTTTGCTGACGTCGTTAAAACTAAGTACGCGATTTATATGATTTGGGCGACTTCCTTGTGCACATTTGATTATGACGTCACAATTTTTTTAACTCCTCAATACAACAACAAACTGAAGTTATCAGAGATAGAAATCTTTTATACGATTTTTTTAATGTTCGAAAGTCGAAAGCGTTAGAAAGCGTTTATTTATCATCACTTTGAGACCAGAACAGTATCACGAAAAGATATGGAACAACTAAACAAGTGTCAACTGCATGATTATTTTTTTTCCTTTGACGTATTTTAATCAAAGTTGTTACACTGATAAACCGTCATTATATAAACAACCGCAAGTACAGCTGTTATATCAAAATTTTAAACTTTATTTTTAAAAAGGAAATTTTAAAAATACATGTATATCTATATAATATAGAATTTTTTGTATTATTTTCATTTTTTACCTTAATAATTTAATATCACTGATTATTTCTATTTTTATCATTATTTTGTACTACACGTATGTGTTTGTGGTTTAAGTGCAGAGTTAGGCAGTAGATTAATTGGTTCAATTGTAAAGAAGGTCAACATGACATGTATTCCTTTTGTTTATAAACTATAACACATAGATCAGGCACGGTAACCATAAACACATTCAATCATTCGGACATATAAGATATTTCGTATCAAACGAATATAGCCGGCCGAGGCATAAAGAATTAGATATGTCAGTTGAGATTTTAATTAATTTACTCATAAAACAATGGTCGCGTGTTGTCCGAATGAATCCTTATCACATGGGTGCTGGAAAGGTCGACAAGTTGTGAAAATGTCATGGAAACCGGTTCTGGGGTATAAAACGGCAGTGCGCGCCCTGACAACCTCAGTTGCGGTTTCTTGTTAATAAAATATCTGAACTTTTTATACAACTTGTCTTCCTTTAAGGTACGTATGTTTTATTGTATAAATATATATCTAAGTATATTCATCATTTTAGAATCGGTGTAATGCTAATAAATTGTTTACTTGAAACTGCTTTGTAAAATTATTATGAAACAGAATTCTGTAAAAAAGAGAAAAAGTTTAAATGTTCATAATTGTTACTTATTAATATTTTTATTTTCAGAATGTTTTGTTAAATTATTACTTTGATTTTTATTTGAGTTGCGGTTTCTTGTTAATAAAATATCTGAACTTTTTATACAACTTGTCTTCCTTTAAGGCCAGCATACAGAGGCTGAACACAAGTTGCTCATATTTGGACCCTCACTAGCTGAGCGAGGACAATATAAATTAAACACAACAATTCAAACTATAACATATATAACAATTGAAAAAATGCTCAGGTATGAAGCATTAAGCATAAAAACGACACAGACTTTCTATGTAAGTAACAGTTTACAATGCTGTTAGCTTCAGATTTTATCTAATTTACTTTCCCGGTCGAGCAAGTTGCCCTATAAATTGAAAAGTCGCTAAACAAAAAACAAACAAACAAACTAAAACAAAAAAAATCTGGGTAGTTAATTGTAGCCTGTTGATAAGGCAAGATAGAATTAATTTTTTGATTCTCATCTCCATTTACCTCTCTTGAAGTGTTTCGTCCGATGGCTTTTTAGGGCTTTATGAAATTCTTTTCAGAAGTATTTAATTATAAAATCAAGCTAAAAGTTTGGGAGGTATATCCCCCGTATGTATGCGAAAAACAAAGTAGAGAATTAAAAAAAAAAACGACGAGAAATGCAGTGTAAATGCACCGTATAAATACAGTAATGTATAGAGAATTAAGGCAGTGATGTTTAAATAGATTTAGATACATCTATTATAGAAAAATTTGAACAAAGTAAGAGTACTGCGAGGAAGAAATTATAGCTTCAAAATTACAACGTCTCGGAGCTAGCGGTACTTGTGTGTTATTTCGCCAGATTAAAAAAGATCGCTGGTAGACTTATAAGGAATTTCGTGCTAAAGAAAAAAGGGATATTAATTCGGTAGGAATCTGAGGAGGGGCGTGCCCCCATAATTTTTGGAATGTATATAAATTACTTTAGAAAGTCGAGCTAATTTACAGTTGTTGTCTCCCTCTATAATATTGCTAGCACATGAAAATATTATACATATTAGAAAACAGAGCTAATTTGCGGTTGGGCCCGCTCAAGAATGTCTGCTTCAGGTCAGTAGAACGCGGGGGAGGGGAAGAGAAAATTCCCCCACTTTTTTCTGAGTATAGTATTTTGCTACTGTAACAGTAATTTTTCCTTTAGGTGCAAGCTGGTTGCCCCCCCCCCCCCCCACACACACACATTTTTTGGTTGCTGTTAGGTCGAGCCTGGTAAACGATCTGGACAGCTTATTGGTTTTTTTTAGCCCCCCCCCCCTTTTTGAACCCGTTGTAACGGGCCTTATCTTGTCTGTATCTGTTAGTTGCCCCCCCCCCCTCCCCGAACTAAAAATTGCATTCTATGTTCCTGTGCATCTTGGTATCTTTAAAAACAACGCTCACCAAAGATTTAATTCTTTAAGATATTTTAACACCATGTATTGCAAATACTTTGACAACATCGCATCGAGAATGAAAAACCGGACGCTAAAAAAATGAAAAAGTTCTGTGAAAATTTGTGATTTTTTCATACAAAACACGAGTAGTTCTTGGTATCTTTATTTTTAATTTACCAACAGAATAAGATTTATTTGCAAAAAACGCTGCATGACAACATGTGGTGATACAGCGACATCCTGTTAAAAGAGCAATAAATGTTGTATTCGGCGTGTGTACTCGTATAAGCATTACCAATGTGAAAATTCCGTATGCGGGTCATTTGAAAGCACTTGATATACGTATCGCAGGCATCGGAAGCAAATTACGTCGAGAATACAAGTGTGTTGGGGGTCCAAACTTCGTTGATCAGTATTGAATTCAGAAAAAAAAATCTATTTGTTAGCACTTCAGCTGTTGCTCGTGAAGATTACTTATTTAGGATTTATATCAAGCAAAATAAAACGAAAATGAGTCATTGATTTGGGAGAAAATTGGACATATTATATGTAACATTTCAACTTGACAGAGAAAAGATATGTATTTGTTGAAAAAAAAAAATTTACTATACCTATCCCCTACCACATTTGCTCCTGAATAATAGTTGTACCTAATCACTCACCATTTCTCTTCCTTAATGTTTTGGCGATTACCCATGTTCTTACTTGTCAGAAAATTATTTTGAACTTTTTTTTCTAATTTGAGTCTCTAATTAATATTCGCTCCCCCATTCTTGTAAGAAAAAGTCTCTGAATCACGCTAGGAGTACTGCACCTGTAAGTCCCCCCCCCAGCCTTCTCGAGCTCCCTCTCTCAGTTACAGCTTAAACAAGGTGTTTCCAGACAAGAGACATTGTTACGTATCTCATACATCTGTGCTTATTTTAAATATAAATTTTACATTAAATATATATAAACATAAAGAAGATGGGCGTAATTGGCGTGTGACCTGCTGAAATCATGTGTACGAAACATTTATAGTTTGAATGTGCACGATTTGGTCGGCTGACCAAAGCTGGACAGGCTTTACAAAGATACGCACATAGGAAAATGTTACATAAACATGTACATGTAGTTTGAAATACTATATTAAATTGCAATATTTAGGTTCGCTTATCTTGATAATGTAATGCATCACATAAAGAATAAACACCTACATGATAATAAAGATAATTAAATGCAATTACAAGTACATATCAAAGTATCAGTACGTTGGAAGAATTGCTTTTCCTCTCGATGCAACAGAACCAGAATTATCTATTTTAAAATAAATTTAATCTGTATAAAAAAATATTAAACTGGCAAAAGAATTAATTGTTTGCATAAAAAGAAATTAACGCTCAATACGGGGATCGAACCAGAAAACTTTCTACTCCATTGCGCTGGACGGGTATCGCATTTTTTTTCTCTTTTATTGATATTCTTCTTCATTTACATACACGTATAACAATTATAATTTACAAGTTACAATAATGTTAAAAAGGAGTAATCACATAAGTTCGTTTAAAAAATAAATAAAATAATACAATATGATTTCTGTTCACTTTCTTTTCATAAAATATATGTTTTCTGTTTTCATTAATGCACAAATGATAAAAATAATATGAAATATAATGTCTCAACATGTATTTGCACAACCTTGTAACATCAATATGTTTGACACTTTGTAAATATATTTGTCTTCATTTGTAAATTGAAATTCTACACATTGAAAGGAAAAAAATCATCAAGAAAAAATTAACATGCTTGATTTTCTTCGTAAAACCGTTTAGAAAAATATTTTCAAAAGTCAAGGTATTATATACACTTTTTTCACAGACTTTCAAAAATGATTCGAGATGATAAATTACAAAATTGTTCTTGAAATCTTGGAGTTCTTTACATTCTAAAAATAAGTGGAATATGTCTTCAGTCCCTGATTTACACAGAGTGCAAACTTTAGAATCAATCTTCCCAATTTTAAATAATTTTTCATTCCTAAATATTATATTATGAAAGACTTTAATGTCTATTTCAATAATGTTTGGCGGTTTAAATGGTTCCCATAAAACTAACCATCTTTGTTTCGAGGCATTTTGATAAACCATTTGAAATTTATTGCACCAAAATTGATCTGAAATAGTGTGTAAAAACATCTTTGCTATTAGATGTTATTTTCATTGCACAATGGACGGGTATCGCATACTACTGAGCTATAATCGCTAGACATACGACTTGGATTTTAAAACGATAATAAAGCACGGCATTTATACATTGGATTTTTTTTTTTTTTTAAAAGTTCATTTTTTATGGTCTCTCGGTCTTCTCTCCATTTTTTTTAACAAATGATTGTTTGTTTCTTTGAATTACAATGCATACAAATAACGTTTGAAAATCATGGAGAGATGACCCCGAGACAGCAATGTTTAGAAAAACGCGTTTAAAATGTGACATTTTGTACCAAATGAATCAGCTAGCCTATTTTCAAGTTATTTTTTGGCAAATCAAATACCTGGAAAATATTTCCCTTTCCTATTTCACAGGAACCCAATACATCAAAAGAATGCTAAAACTTCATGAGACAGAACAATGAAATTTTCACCTTTTAAGTGCGCCCAGATTCCTGCCGAATGCCAATCAAAAGCGCCCTCGTTCTTTCTTTCTTCTTTTTGTTTTTCTGCACTTTATACCAGACCGTATTCACGACGTCAAGCGTGGCGTCGCGATAGTTTATAGCGTCATTCTTAAAAATGTTACATTTTGCAATGTAAAAGCAATCTTTCGCATTTAAATTATGAGAAAACTAACTCAAAGACAGATTAATTTTTTGCGTAGATTTATCTGATATCATCTCGTAGTGAAATGACCAAAGAAGAAACAATTTCGACTGCACCATTTAAAAGTTACCGAGATTTTTTGAAAAGAAATCTTTCCTGAAAATGAGTCAAAAATGACGTTTTCCCTATAGAATTCAATAGAATAACGTCGAAAATGTTACGACAACGATGACATATTTGGTATTTAATAACACAAAAACTATGCAGACGAATTATATAAAATTTTCAGAGAAAGTAGGAGATTCATATATGTAATTTTCACGGTATGTTTTCGAGTAATTTTAAAAGGTCACCAACCCCGCGACCTACGTTAAAAAGAAACTATTCAAGGAAAAAAAAATTGATCAATAAACTTGAAGTATTTCTTCGAAAATCCTTCTAGAAAATATAATTTTTTTTCCAACGAATTATAAGGATAGGTTCACAACTCAGAATTACATTAGAAGCATCACATATTGTTTAAATATTATGCACAACCTTGTATGATTTTCCTTTTAGCGACACTTAGTGTATTAAACAGAAAGTAAACGTGTCATGGTTTGACTTCAAACATGCTGTATGTAACCCTTGGAATTATTTTGTTTTATAGAAGCAGGGGGTATAAAATCGCCCACACAAATCTCGACCTACCGTCTTTGTAAATCCTGATAGGTCTTTTCCGCAGTTCTAGAAGTCTAATATCAATCTGCTGTCCAATGTCGTCAAACGGTGCCCTGAGGTCGGTCTCTGTTCTGCAGGGGTACACTGGTACGGTTGTATTTGAGAATTCTTCCTGCAATAACAAGTTCAGACTTTGTATTGTCTTTCAATTGTCAGAAAACGTCAAAAGTTCAGACTTTGTATTTTCTTTCAATTGTCAGAAAATGTCAAAAGTTCAGACTTTGTATTGTCTTTCAATTGTCAGAAAACCTCAAAAGTTTAGACTTTATATTGTCTTTCGATTGTCAGAAAACGTCAAAAGTTCAAGGTTGAGGTCATATGTGTCACATTATTTGGGTTTCTAATTGCCACCCTCTCTTGCTTTGATATTTTGGTTCTGACGTCAAATCCGGTAAATGAAATGACGCGCTAACTACGAGAATTCAAGCATGCAACAAGACAGCCTCACCTGTCTGTCCTGCTTAAAGATTGCTGTTTGAGGCAAGTTCGCTAGGTTAAATTATTTCTATATTAACAAGCACCTAGAACTAGAGGCTCAACTAGGATATATGGATAAGTAGTACCGGTAAATATTTTCATACGCCAAAGTGCTGAAGAATTAATGTGCATTGCTAAAGAATATGAGGAAATTTGGAAAAATTCTATCTAACGTAGGAACTTTTTGGTAAAATTGTGGACATGTAAACAGGTGGATAGGTTGACAGGTCGATGGGAAGACAGGTTGACAGGATGCCAGGTCGATAAAATGTTTGGTTGACAGGTCGACGAGTCGACAGGTTTACAGTTCGACGGGTTGACAGATTGTTTGCTTGACAGGTCTACATGTATTCAGGTAGACAAGTCGACGGGTTGACAGGTCGACAAATTGACAGGTCGACAGGTAAACGAGTCAACAGGTTGACAGGTCGACAGATAGACGGATTATCTTCAGTGGGTGCCTGAACTAACACTATTCTCTCCGATGGGTTTGAGGACTAACCCTAATCTCTCCGATGGGTTTGAGGACTAACCCTAATCTCTCATCAGGTCCGTTCGAGGACTAACCCTAATCTTTCCGATGGGATCTAGCTAACCCTAATCTCTCGGGAGGGTTCGAGAAAATACTTTCCTAATTAGGTGTCAACTGTTGACCTGTCGACCTTTGTTGTGATGGATAAGATTTAGCAATTTTATGTCGACCTGTCGACCTTTATTTTGAGGGATAAGAGTTTACCAATTAGGTGTCAACTGTCGACCTTTGTGATAACAATACAGGTTGTCAAATTGTCAACCATTTATAGAAGAACTCTTCTTGCAGACTATTTTTTTAAAACGCATTTATCTGACGTAATAAGGCAAACACTCATTTTTTTGTTTTATAAAGGGAACTATTTCTTTCCTTATTTTAAATTTGAAAGATGTTAATCGGTTTACGGATCTTCTTTTCCGTATACCCTAGTCGAACCGAACTTAGATATAAAATTTTAAGTTATTCATAAAAACGTGTTAAGTCATGAAATGGAGTTGTCCCTGTGTGTTATTAAATGTCTGATTCAGTACTGAAAATCACTTTTTATTCAAGAAAAATTTATTTTCGCGTAATTACGCAAGACGGCCTGCTCGCGAAAATTTTATTTTTCATTCTCACGTAAATCTTTGGTAGTATAGATTATATATCCCCTACTATCCAAACTCCCTCACCATAAGCGAAAACACGCCAGGTTACTCTCTGAATTATTTTTTGTTTTGTTTTATGTTTGCTACAATTAGTAAGGAACTAAAACATTGTTTTCAGAAATATTTAAAAAAAATTCAGTACAAAAACTACTTTAAATGTAACGCGTATCACATTCGTCTACATTAAGTCCAATGAACCCTAACTCCGTCACCAGGGCCCTCTACAATACGTCATCGTATTAATTTTTTTTTCCAGTTTAGTTTTTTCTCCCTTTTTTTAAATTTGTAAACATAGAAAATTAGTTTTTAAGATTTAAAAAAGTTTTAAAAAGTAACTTAGGAAAAGTATTAACAAGAGAAAAAATAACGTTAATGCAACGTATTCTATATGTAATAACGTCACGCTACGTTATCTCAAACTTAATGCATATTAGGAAAATAAAATATTTTTAGCCGTATTCAATTAAGGAATGTTTTCAAGTTTTGTGTGAGTTAAATATTTGATGAAGCGCGCTAGCGCTTCATGAAAAATATGCCTACGTGCAAGTCTGTGTGATTTACACACCAATAATTCACACTAAATTTAAAAACATTCCTTATATTTACATTTTACATGTTTAAATCCAAAAATATACTTAATGTTTGAATTTCTCGCTGCCCTATATCGTCATATTTTTATTAACGTCTCTGTAGCCTCATTTTGACGTCACTTTAGCGCGAGTTTCTCCGTGTATATTTCTACGCGTGAGTATACACAAAAATGGTTTTCAAATCAATTTCACAGAGTGCTTAGTAGAAAAACAAAGCAAATGTAAATATTACGGTATGTCATATTAATCTTTTGGCAAAGACCTTCATAAATATGACTGACATGTGAAAATGAGCATATTGACGCACAAGTCCAAGGTACCGATGGTATAACGCATAAAGGAAAAAGTACTTACTGATTTCACATAAAATATGATAGATACAATAGATCATGTGTAATTGTTATTTATTTTTGACGCATTCTTGAACTTGACTTTAAAAATTTCTCGGCATTTGATTGTAGATTTTCACCACGTAAAAGAATGACGTCATAATCGCATTCATTTACAAACAGCGCGGAGTTTCCCGAAAGTGACGGAGTTAGGGTAGTGACGCAGTAAGGGGTGTTGGCGATACAACAATACCCGAATTCGTGAAAAAATTTACCCGTTTATAAATACCACATCGCGCGAAAATAAGGTGTCGCAAAAACTTGGTGACCTAATTTAATTAAACCGGCAGATGTGAGAAAAAAAATGAAAGAAAAAGTGAGCAAGCTCACATACCCCACGCTTCCCCAAAACTCGACAATGCAACACGTAATGAATGGCACAGTGCATTTTAAATACACAGTATAATTCAAAAAAGGGGCATTACTTGCAAAAAATCATCACATCAAAACTTCTTGCATATAAGGCCATTCAAATCTTTGTATGTTACAAATTTAACTGGGCTGAAGTTTCTAGATAAATAATGGAATCAAAATTTCTTGGTAATATACAAATCTATACATTATTCTGAAATACCTACAAAGTTTCAGGAAATTCAGTGCCGGAATTATGCTGACAAACTGTTATTTAAATTCCTCAGTGATTTCGATTTGTTAATGAGTGTAAGTCCATGTCCAACACATGACAGTTTACACATTTAAATAATTGATGGAAACAAAATTATGATGTAGTCATATGAATCTGTTTATATACTGTACTTATGAAATTATTTAAGGCAAAGCACACCAATTTGAGGGGGGGGGGGGGGGAGAACTATCGAAGATGGTGTGTGTGTGAGTGTGTGTTTGTGTTAAACCATTAATATTTTGATCTCAAAATCAATAGGGGTCTTTTAAGGTCATAAAATATTTCACATAGAATTTCATTATAAAAAGCTGATTCCAGTGGAGTTTCTTATTACCTAGCTGGAAAGTTTCTTCAATAAAAGGCAAAACTCTTGAGGCAAAAATAATGGAATCGGAATTTCCTGGTAATATGCACATCTACACACTGTGTACTAAATATCTGCAAAGTTTGACCAAATTCTGTGCAGCGGTTTAAGAGGAGTTGCGCTGACAAACTGTTCATCTCTATATTCAAGATATGGCCAAAAATCTAAGTTGAAAAGTGCTGAAATTCCCAGAAAAATAATGGAATCGGAATTTCCTGGTAATATGCACATCTACACATTGTGTCCTAAATATCTGCAAAGTTTGACCAAATTCTGTGCAGCGGTTTAAGAGGAGTTGTGCTGACAAACTGTTCATCTTTATATTGAAGATATGGCCAAAAATCTAAGTTGAAAAGTGCCGAAATTCCAAGAAAATATAAAGGAATCGGAATTTCCTGGTAATATGCACATCTATACATTGTGTGCTAAATATCTGCAAAGTCTGACCAAATTCTGTGCATTGGTTTATGAGGAGTTGCGCTGACAAACTGTTCATCTCCATATTCAAGATATGGCCAAAAATCTAAGTTGAAAAGTGCCGAAATTCCGAGAAAAAATAAAGGAATCGGAATTTCCTGGTAATATGCACATCTACACATTGTGTCCTAAATATCTGCAAAGTTTGACGAAATTCTGTGCAGCGGTTTATGAGGAGTTGCGCTGACAAAAAAACAGGACTGACGGACTGACTGACTGACTGACTGACACACTGACTGACTGACTGACGGACGGGTCAAAAACATTATACCTCACGCAACTTGTTGCGTGGGGTATAATTAAGAGCACAGAATTAATTCTTCTGAAATGGTGAAACTGAACGATATTCAACTCAACCATTGTTTTTGTCACCGATATTGACGAAGCACACTTTGGAGTACTCATCAACTAATTATTACAGAAGCATTGTTACCTTTGTTATGATATTTCTTTCATAAAGTTGATAGAATTCATCACACATAATTTCATGTAATTCTCTAGAATAGTAGAGTACAACTACAAGGAACACAGCACCTGAAATGTTTAAAGATTGATTATATGTTAACCGTCAAACAAATTAAATTTCATTATGTGTTACTCCTGTCAAAGTTAGCTTTTATAACTCAGAACTGAATATTCTCCTGTCGGAGAATTTCATTCATTAAGGCGACGCCCATTTGATTCTGAAGGGGGGGAGTGTTAGCAAATGTTTAATTATTCTCAAGTCAGCGACGGAAGGATTATTTCCAAGATGATTGGGGACATATTAATAACACTAAAGAGGGGATGGAGTGGCACTAGCTAAGGACAACTGTTTTCTTTTCCGTTGAGGACATATTATTTATTTTCAGTATTCTCCAGTGTTCTCCAGTGAAGATTATTTATTTCAAAATCTGCCCCCTCCCCACCCAGTTCAGAATTAAATTTCCGTGCCTTAATAATGAGTCGGGTGCTTCAAATGTACTTGTAGTATTTTGTCAGTCCACTGCTCCAAAGGACTTGCTTTGTAAAATATCATCAGCATCCCACTCTTTTTCAGAATATTATGCACTAAATATAGAGAGTGATAACTTCTGATATGTAATACATATATATATATATATATATATATATATATATATATATATATATATGGACATTTGCAGGCGCGTTTATCCTTATACAATGTGCAACCAGTACGTCTCATGATTACCATTGTCAAGAAGTTCTGGTTGATGTCATAGATAGTCGTCATGATCATCGAATTCAACTTTAGCCTATAATTATTATCTATACTTATAAATTAATAAAGTTTGCAAATAAACTCCGAAATGCCTGCACTAGGAGTTCATACTTCCTCCTCTAAGAATACACTATGTCTGAGATGATGTCCGTAAACTATATATTCAAATTTCACTCGCATAGTAATTTTTGTAAATTTAATTTAAAGTCTACTTTCATTTTCGATAAACAACCCTGAAATAGCAAAAAAGAGAGTACGGTGGTGGTTCCGGTTGGCGGATCTAAGTTATAGGCGAATTTTCATAAAACTGACAACAAGCAATCCTTTATTTATTTCATAAAACGATATTACTGAACTATTCGATCAAAACTTGATTAAAGTGATATAAAAGAAATAAGTTATGATAATTGATTTAAAAGCAAAATGTGCAAATCGTTATCGTAATTCTTGATGGAAAGAACCACGCACACTAACTCTCGATTCCCGCCTACATTTTACACATATTTAATTCAATACAATTGTAAGGAAATTGTATGGAAATGGAAAAATGATCCCTAAAACTTTCCGTATGTTTAACTTGTGTAGAATTCAACAGAAAAAATTGATAAAAGACCATTTAAAATTTGAAATTGATTATAAAATGACCATTTTCGCAGTTTTTAACTGTAAACATATGCCCCCCCCCTCCCCTGAAACAACAAAAGCTTTGGCATGAATTTGTCAAATAACAATTTATAAAATCCATAAAAAGGAATTTTTGCTTCACGAGGGGAATGTTTTAAAGAAAGTTTCCGTTTTCCGTTGATTTCTATAGCAAAAAACGCAATTTTTACCAAAATTACATCCTCACAATGTCAAGGTTTTGTGATTTCGAAACTCAACACAAACCCTTGACATAAGTCGCTATTTAAAAGTCGGGCTTTGTAGTCCGTAATTCATTCATTCCAAGTCTCAAACTGGAACCAATAAGAATGAGGTTCTCATTCTGAACAGAAACGACGTAAACAAAAATGGCTGCGCCCATGTGGACCCTAGACAATTTCAAACTCTCCATCTTCTTGTCGTATTTGTAATGATAATAACTTGAACAAATGTCGATTAATTTTTGGAAAATCCTTTACTGTTTTTGAACAATTTTATAAGGTTTTAGGCTTTTTTCCACGTGAAAACGACGGATTATCTCCGTACGTTTGTTATATGTGCTTTAACAAACTAAATAAACTTTCCAAGATTGACTTCGAGTTGAAACATAAGGTAGATCACTTGAGAAAAGAAAAGACTGATATTCTAAAAAAAATCTACGACCACACAGAAATACGGTAACTACTGATGTTCTTACTGTCACTATTAACACTCCAGTGAAACCAGCAGAAGCTCGTGATAGGTCAGAAATTGAACATGTAGTTTCAAATGTACCATGTATACAGACCCCTAAAAGATCTCGCACCCCGAAGCGGATAATTTTACACTCACCAACACCAAGAAAAGCTAAAAAATATTTGCTGAGGATAAGTTCTCCACCTAGGGCTTGTAAACGTCCTTCAAGGAGCAAAAGAGACTTTGTAATTTGTCTCCAGGAAGTTTTTTTTTTATTTTAATACATTGAACTTTGGACTAAAAAATTGAAAATAAATGTATATTTTTTTCATATTTCAAACCCATCCCTAATCTGAAATGTCTTACATTGTGTGTATCTTATCACTACTTATTGTGTATGTCCATTTAATTTATACCTGTATGTGCAGATTAAGGGGGAAAGGGGGGGTTATGAGGATTTGGACCTCCCCTGGGCTCTTCTGGGTTTCTGAATTTACATGAAGTTAGATAAAATGGTCTTGCCCCTCATTCTACCCCAAAGCACAATATTGGTTATTCAGGTTTGGACAAACTGTTTTAGGTATCCGTTTTTCCAAGTCAAAATATTTATGTGCTCTTTTTTTCAATTTATTTTTGAGTTTATGTGGACTCCCCCTCAGAAAAATGACTGAATTTACGCATGAACATATTGTTTAAAAATATTGTCAAGCACATGCTGAATATCGCTTAAACAAAATTTGGAGTTTATGATAACCATTTGACATTTTCTCATTCATCCCTCGAGGTTTCGTGATTTCGGAACTCTCATTCATCACTTATTAAGTATTAAGTAAATATATTAATGCCTATTAATATTAATGTAAGAAAAAGGCTAAAATATTCAATGCCTGCTGCCAAATCTCATTCATTTTTTGTGAATAAAATTATAAAATATATATTTATGCTTTTATTTACACATTTTAATTAATAATATGGCAGTATAATGAACGTGCACAAGGTTGACAAACTATAAAAGTACATGTATCTTAACGCTGTTAAATATTTAATACATTGAAAGTCATACTAAATAATTCATTAATTTATTATTGTAAACTCATGAAAATAATTTTATAAAAGTTGAGCAGTAATTAACTGATATCCTGAAAAATGATTTACCAATAACCTTGTAAATTAATAGGGTTTACTTTAATTGACCTATTACAATGCATAAAAATACACAAAGTTTGATGTTCTAAAGATCTCTCTCAATCTTGGTCTTATGCACCCACATACATTAGCAATCCTATATCCCCTCTGCAACTTTTTGCATTAAACAAATCTGACTTCTATTTATTAGGTATCTTTTAGAGGCAGACAGGATGATAAAATCAGAACCAGGGTTATTAAGAATGGAATATGGCATTCAGTGGTGAAGTCAATTGTGAGGGGGGACAAAGGGAAGAGCATTTCAGGAAAACTCTACTCTATTGAATCATTAAAGACTGGTTTACAGAAATGTGTACTAAAAGAACTTGAAAATCAGTGCAAAACTCTGTGTAAAGTGAACACTGAATCTTTCCCCCAAGAATTTGGAGTCATTTTCTTTTGGGAGTATCATAAAAGAGTGTCAACTGTATGCTCCCCTTCTACTAGAAACCATGACATGTGTGATGAATCAACCAAACGAAAACAAGCTCGCAGTGGCTGCGGCATTGCAGTTAAGAAATCGAACATACATATGTCTGCCATCCATCATTTAATAGGGCAAATACTAGATCATGGGGGAGCAACCGATGACGTATTTTATAAATATAATTGCATAACCATTAGAAATAAAAAAAATAAATATATCTGACAACTAGATTTAAGATAAGTCACTGTATACAGTATTTTATTTTTATCAGATTACTCAAATCATTTATTTAGGAAACAAAATAACACAGTTATTAGTAAATCATTTATTATGGTGATCAATTTCATATCTTAATTATAGGTCAATTAAATTACTATCCTATATGGGATTGTGTAGTGGACCCCAGTCCATGAGTCTGAAGAGGAATGACTTTGAAATCAGTCAGAGACAGAATATTAATCAGATTGTCCAAGACCACGTGAAGCAGTGCCAAATGGAATATGTGACTCAGAAAATTAAGAAAAGTCTGGAGGTACTACCAGAATCAGATACCACAATGTCTGGCAAATACCTCCCACCTGCGGTCTTGCCACATAGTTTGACAACTACCGGTACTTTATACCAAACAGGTATGTTATTTGTTCACTGTCCATCTTATTCAGTAGCTGGATCACATGAAGTGTATATGGTACAATCCAACAGTTATTCAAATTCCAAATATCCAGCCTCTACAAGATTAAATGCAGTACCTTTGAAAACACTAGATGAGACTTCACATTTTGCTAGTATTATTGAACCAAAAAATATTTCCCCCTAACTACCTAATTCTTTTATCCTTAGTTGGGAGAGGGCAAGCAAACATGTTTTTTAAGTTGGTCTAATATAAAATATTATAAAAATATGCATATTTTATTTGAGCATATTTTATTTTCTGTATGTTAATGTTCGATGAATATGTAGAATAAAAATCAAATTCTATAACTTCATACATTTACACGATTGTCCTTTTAAATAATGTATAAATTGTAGAAAGTCTAATCAACATTCAAATGACCAATCAAGTATCAGAGATGGATGACAAAGAATTACTGGTGGAGAAATGTACGACTCTCAGAATAATCGATACAGCTGTACGTGCATCAAAATTTACAAAACTAGGGGTCATTTCAAACGACACCTTGAAAAAGAACATGGATGGGACTTTGCTTTAAATCAGGATTCATCAAACTCAACAGTGTACTCAAAAATGGAACATGTTGCAGTGTGGCGAGCTTCTTTCATAAAACTTTCCTTGCTGCTTAGGGACACTGAAGATGCTTTCCATTATGGGGATGGTTATCGCATTTTCCGAAATGTCAAGTTCGAGATGCTTTGTGCAGACGCAGCCCACCATGCAAAATATCGTTTATGGTTGTGGCATATGCAAGCATATGAGAGTGCGATCTTGACTCAAAGACAAGCAGTTGAATATAAATGGAACTGCACAGCCAATACACATGGTGGGAAAGGAAAAAATATTCCCAATGACAATCTAGTAGAGACTCTTGTGCAGAAAATTAAGAAGAAATTAAGAGAGCAGGTATCTAACCTAACACACAACAGTGCACAGAGGATAGCTCTTTCCATTCAAATTCAGGAAGAATTGAAAGAGAATGTATTGCGACAATTCAGTAATAAAGAAAAAGGACGTTCTAGACCAACTGTTAATAGAGACTCTGAACTCCATAATTTGATCACTGAGCTACAGCATGGGGAGGTATCTGATGTTATCCAGGGAAGGGAATTCCATGCTTTCAGAAGATTTAGTGATTTATTTTCCAAAGTTAAAGCTGAAGAACTGCACAAATGGATTTCAGACCAAAAGTTTAGAGCAAGTTATGAAATGTTTTAAAGAAACTCTAGAGTTGTGAACAGAAATTCTACAGTCTGAACTTCATGACTTGATTAAACTGCTGCATGGTGGAAGTTTTTGCTATTCCACAGGAAAGGAAATTTCCTGTTCTCAAGGGATAAGTATCCCCATAATGTCTAGGTTTTGTGATTTTGTGGAGTTCCAAAATCACAAAACCTTGTCATTGTGAAGATGGAAATTAACTCCGATTAAGTGATTTCATACTTTGCATAGTTAATCCTAAATGATTTCAGACCAAAAGTTGAGAGCTTTTTATTTTAAATCTCTTATGAATCTGTAATTTGTTTAATATTACAAATCTAAAAACAACATTGCAAAGTTGTCAGGCAATTGTTTTAAACATGAAAATACTGTTTAATATGCAGTGTTCTCTGCGAGTCTTTGAAACTGTGTCCACTATAATACAATGTACATCTAGATCTTTCTTTGCACTGTTAATATAAGAGTACAAACAGTCTTTAATATAATTGCCCTTGTAATGAAGAGGTGACATCCAAAGTTAATCTAAAACTGTTTACTATTATCTGAAGCTAAGAACATGTTTTTCTTTAGATACTGTGTTGTTCAGTTTCAGTTGTTCTTGTGTGTGGGTTTTTTTTCTTTCTCTTTTAATACTCTACTATTTTATTATAATTCTTTTTAAGGTTTAGTACCCTCAGCTACATGTAAGCATTGTGGACATTTCACACATTTTATATTAAAAAATAAACCAAATCATATGGTGCAATAAAAATTAGGTTCTTGATGACTGTTTTTTCTTTTAACAAATTCCGAAATTGTCTTTTCCTAGGAAAGATATATCCTTTCATAAAATTTGTATTTATTGAACTTGAAACTCGGAACAGAAGGTACAAAAGAAAAAAAAAGGTGGAAGGGGTCTACTTCCAAGAGAAACTCTAATAGAGAATATTAGCAACTGGTTTAATCTTCATAATATGGACAACAATGATGCTGTTTTGAAAATTTTATATATTCAGATAAAGTTCTATTAATTATTACATTAAACAATAGATTAAATATTTATGCCAAAACTTATTCAATAAAAAATCTCAAATATTTAAAAGCAATGTTTCTCACTTTGCATGAATACATCAGTACAGTCAATCAGTTTCTTCGTCAGCTGTTGTTACATCACTATCATAAGAGTCTGAATCAGTATCAGGCATCTCGTTTCTGAAACTTGAGTGTATATAAGGGCACAATTCCTCTCCACATTTACAATTACGCTCACAAATGTCACAACGAAAATGTCTTTTAATGTCCTAAGCAGGATCACACGTGTATGACTTTGTTAAAAGCAATCTTCTACACTTGTCAGACACAACAAGGTCTTTCATGTCATTATCGATTTTTTTAAGTTGTGCAGATTTATAGATAATAAGGTCATGGGACTGTTTGTTGTCTCTGCCAGAACGACCCATCTGTTGAACAAAAGTGTTTATTTCTTTTGGAGGTCTATAAAGGATAACATTATATAATTCAGAATAGTTCACCCCTATGCCAGCAGCATTTGTACATATTTAGTACTTTTAGCTGTCCATTCGGATTGCTCATATCACCTCTAATTTTATCCTTCACAGAATCTGTGGTTTCACTATGAAACATGTTAAAAAGATGACTTCTTCCAAAATGTTTTACAAAAGTCATATATATTAATGAACAGTCTTTAATAGTGTTGCAAAATATATGATGTCTTTGAAATTTGTCTTTTTCCTTTTCACGTTCCTCAATAATCCATGAAAAAATGACATCAAGCTCATCATTTTGTTTCACTTTAATAACACTCATTTTAATATTTTTTTCTATCAGGGGTGTCAGATATCACTCAAGCATTTTTTCTGAAGCACAACTTTGACATAATTTTTCTTCTGTGGTTTGGGCATGCAGTAGCAGTCAATGCCAAACAAGGAACTTTTAAAGAGAGAACGCAGTTCACCTATGTGACTAAACCACTCGCGTAATGCAGCTTCCTGTTGAATTTTCCTTCTCCCCTGAAAAAGAAAAAGAAATTTATCAGCTTACGTCAATAATCAATGTCCATAATTTATCTAATTTTTAATGTTTGACATACATAAATGGCGGGGGGGGGGGGGGGTTAGGGCCTTAATTTTTTCCATTGTCTGGCGTCAACAATCACAAAAGTGCAAAGAAATCTGTTACTTAACAGTGTTTCACAATAATCATGATACCAGTAATTATAAGTGTTTCATAATAATTATAAATCTCAGCATTCCTTTATTTGTTTAGTTCTTGGGGGGGATGTATTGATGAATATAACGTGAATTTTATTTATATCCGACTTTAACTTGGGTTTTAATAAGACAGTAGGTCTGACAGCTGTAGGTTGAGATATGAACTTGATTGATGATATAATTGTTAATGTATGTAGTGAGTGTAAACAAATCATCCCAAAAGTTGGTTAAATATTTTCTATCTTACCAATGAATGATGGTATGAACTTCATCTTCCACAATCAAACGATGTCTCTTCTTGAATTCTGGATTCTTCAGAGCATCTCTCCACTTTGCTTCTCCAACCAGGGCCTCTGGGCTACCAAAAAACGAAGTTGTAGTAACCGCTTGTCACTCTCTCTACATCAGTTGACACTTCTATAAATACTGCCCTATATCCCAAGCTGGAGAGACTTTCAACTTGTTCCTTCATAATGCTGATTAACGGAGCGATTATAACGGTTACCGCATTTTCGCCATACACAATTGGAACACATTGATAAGTCAATGATTTGCCACTTCCTGTCTAAGTTCCAATAAATATATCGCAATTTTCTCTTAAGCTTGATATCGCAAACCTTTGATTTTCGGTAAGATTATTAATATTGAATTTTTTTTTACAGATCTTCTTTTCAAGATCCGCCATCTTTGTGCTCAGTCCAAACTACGTTTTGAAAGGAGTTATTTCATTGGACAGTTTATTTTAAGGATTATTACGTATTGTTGAGCGTGAGCCCGACTTTTAATTAGCGACTTTTGTCAAGAGTTTGTGTGGAGTTCCGAAATCACAAAACCTTGACTTGGTGAGGATGCCAAAATTAAGGAGTTATCTCTCTTATTTTTCCCAAATAAGTTATGTTTTATGAAAATTCACATAAATATCTATATAAATATGAAAAATCATTCAAATATGTTAACTTCTGAAATTTAACTTGGAGATAGGCGGCAGAACAATACTATCGTTCGCAGTTCTTTCTAGAACATGATAGGGCATCAAGCCCGATGTTAAAAAATAAAAACGAGGCGATTATTACTACGTCATGAATATATTAAAAAAAGGTTTTGATGTGAACGGGCATGGAAATGATGGTAAAGAAATTGATTACACTATGAGTTGTGAATATATGTATATATCGAAAGATTATTCGTAGGATGTACTAATAAATTTATCAGTAATATGTGCATTTTCGCCACTGAGCGCATCATGGCAACAAACCTGAAGTACAGTTTGAAATTAATGAATATGGTATTGTTCAAATATAACTAAAGCCGTTATAAGTTTTTGTTCTAATCAATACATTTCAGTTTCTGAAAACAGTCTGTATCAAGTCCTAGGTCTATACCTGTGTTGCTTGTTTTTTTAACAGAAATGTGCTAAATGTGTCTTTATAAGTAAAATGTGCATATTCGCTTTCTTTTATCCTTGATGGAAATAAACTAAGAGAACCTGAAGTACAATATCTATAACATAGTATAACAGGTGTCAAAATTAGCTTCAATTAATGAAATTGCCATTTTATTATTTTTTTTTTTTTTTTACAAAAGGGACGGGGCATATATCTACTTCTGCTCCGAAACTATGTGATTTTGATCAAAGTATTTCTTCCTGCTATTAGTCTGTAATTAAATCTCAGTAGAAACTATAATATATATTACTGGAATTGTTCTGTCAGTAGTGGTAAAAACTCAAGTCCCCGCGCTTGCGCGGGATTTCGTCTAGTATTCTTTATTTAGAATAATATCTTGTAATATCTGCTATAAGTCAGTCACAAATTCATCTTGAGTAGTAACTAGTAAAATATCGTTTTGTCTATTAGTTAAAAATACATCGTCGGCCTTCATTGCTTTTGATCAGGTGACCTACCCGTAACAATATCCCGATTGATGTTGTCTCTAATGGTTTATTTTTATTCTATTGTGCATGAAAGGAGCAGCATTTTGGCTCTTATAACGTAAAGAAGAAGAAACTACAAGTTTCACGAAATGGAACGTACATGTATCTTAATTTTACAATATTTACCTATTGTTGGTCACGTTTTATGCAGCGATTTTTATTGTGAAGCAATTATCTCTGAAATGCAATCTTACTGGAAGTCATTACTGGCAGTTTAATACATATCTCAAAAATAATTTAATTGCTTTTACCTCGCAATGATAAAACTACACGTGTAATGTTCTGGCGTTTACCTTTTTTCATCTCTCTGGATCTCGAGTGAAGAAAATTGTCCCAATCCTTAGCAGCCTTTTCTTCAATTTCATCATCTTTCTCTGTCTTTCCAGGAAAGTAAAATAACTCCTTTTCAACACGTATCGGCCTGAAACCAATATTTTTTTTTTTAAACACTTTTGCATTTAGAGAATGCATCTTTGATTGTTTTTCCTATCTAGCTTGTAACACGAGATTTGAATGGTTAGCAAACCGGTGTAAATTCCCGGCTTGAAGCGGGGGTAACTATAACGTTACGTCACAATGCATATTCTTTATGACAAAAAGCAAACAACATGAGGTCATGGTGCATTGTATTCCGTTATCCGGGTCCAATCAAAGGTGTTCAGGGATTTACCCCGGGTTGTATTCCATACATCCTTTGGCCCCAGAGTGTATGGAATAAAACCTGGAGTACACCCTTGATTGAACCTGGATAATGAATAAACCATTACAGGGAACTGAATCCAATTTGTGTCTGTGATAAGTAATCACTCCTTTTCTATTTTTAGCGCGCATCATGGAATATGCCAGCAGAGCAATTGCTATTCATAACGCCATGTTCACTGAATAACGTTGTTTATTTCCTAAATATTTGTACCCATGTACATGTGGATACATATACATAAGCATACACAAACATACCTATATAATATATACAGAGATTTATGTGGAAGTTGTTTTAATAAAGAAGAGAAGGGAGAGGAAGATGAAAGCCGAAATAGATAGAGATGGAGAGAAGGAAAATTGTATGTTTAATAAAAAAATCATACGGACACAGCACTTATTTAGATGGTCTAGCGAGAAACGTTCCTATAATAACTGCTTCCGTCACATTTTGCGTTTAGCTGAGTTTCTAAAAAATTCTTCAAGATGTGTTTGAAATTTCATATGCTGATACAACTGCATCAACATTTATTTTTATCTTTCTTTTGACCTTGTATGAGTTTTCAAATAATTTGTGTTTAGCTCAGTTTCAAAGAAACTATTCAAGATATTTCTATCAAATCGTAGGTGCTTAAGCTTTTCAACTGCATATTCATTTATTTTACCTTGACCTCTGTTTTTAACCCTGACCTCATTTTTCATAAGATTATGTTAAGCTATGTTTCAAAGAAACTATTCAAGATATTATTATCAAACCTTATATGCCAATACATATTCAATTGATGAGAGCTTTTCAATTTCATCAACATTTTTTTTCCCTTTATCTTTCCTTTGACATCGACCTCACTTCTCATAATTTCTTGTTTAGCTAAGTTTCAAAAAAAATATTAAAGATATTTTTAACAAATTTCATATTCTAGTACATATTGATGAGAGTCGTTCAACTGCATCAACATTTTTTGACAATGACCTTTCCTTTTACCTTTATCTCACTTTTCTTATATTATTGTTTGGCCAAGTTTCAAAACAACTTTTTTAAAGATTTTTTTTATCAAACCTAATATGCTGATACATATTGGTGAGAGCTTTTCAACTTCACCAACGTTTTTAATCTTGACATTTTCTTTGACCCCACCTTGAAATATTTTCCTTAAACATCATCTGCTTATACATGTATGTATTGATAAAAGGTATTCATTAATTTTGCCATATTTTTTAACCCTGATCTTTCCTTTGATCTTCGCACTTTTCTCAAATTTGTGTTTTGCTCACTTTTAAGAAGCAAATCAAGATATTTTTATCAATCTATACATTTTGATGAGTGGTACTGAACGACATCAACATTTTCCAAACTTGATTTTCCTTTGACCTTGACGACAACTTTTTGGGATCGGGTTCAGTTGATTCCATATGAAGCATCCGGCAAATTCAACTATCTGCGCACACATTATTCCCTTCATTACTTTGTTATTTATGCACTGACAGCTTTAAATAAAATTTTCGGAGCATGTACCACGAAATATTATTTGAATGTATTTACCTTGAGATGCAGATGTTTATTCCGTTACATGGTGAATTCACTTGCATTATTCTTAACAGTCCCTGAAACTATCTACTTTCCCACTTGAACGGTGAACGAACGTTGAACGAACGGTGTACGAATGCAGAGCGAACGGTGAGTGAACGCTGAACACAATTTGGTGAACGGTTGGTAAACGGTGAACGAAGCAGAACGCGAACGGAGCGCAAACGCGAGCGCAAAGTGAACGGTGAACGCAAGATGAACATTTTTTTTTTCAAAATGTCTGATCTTTTCCTTGCGTTGTATGCATTCTATTTTCAATACATAAATAAATAAATCTCAAGAATAAATAAATTTTGAAGTGTCGAAATTACAAGACAATATTTTTTTGTTCTGAACACTTCCAGAGTAAATATATAAAAATAAATAATTAAATAAATTAATAGAGGTTCCTGCATTGTCCTTAGAATGACGATACAAGCACGAGGACTACGTGTGAACCTGGAGCAGAAATTTTTTTTTAAAAAAACTATGTCTGCCAAACAAACGGATTTGTTAATAAAGAATGGTTTAATAACACTGCCTGATAGATATATAGATAGATATATATATAGATATATATATATATATATATATATATATATATATATATATATATATATATATATACAACTTAGAAATTTTTGTTTGATACAATGCATGCATTGTGAGAAGGGGGAATCTCTCTCTCTCTGTGTATAATTTGTCTGTCTATTAAAACTTATGACAGCATCATACTTAAATATCAAATTACAAAATTAAATTTAAATCTATATCAAAAAATATAAATGCCTCTTCCTATCATCTTGCCCGAATATAAAAAGGGAGGATCAAAGGATATCTTTTTAATAAATGATCAATAAAATAAAAATATTTTTACATAAGTATTTAATATTGCAAACACATGTATGTTTATGTGGCACATACACAGACCTACGCAAAGTATTTGTAAGTGTTACATTTTTCAATTATTTAACACGAAATAGCTTTTGTACTGAAATGCATGTATGTTTGTGACTCATTCCATAAATCTGTCTGTACCCGCTATATAAACTCTGATGCAATTTTGACACTTGAGTGATTTTCTGGCCTGCATGGCTGTGGACATGTTCATATTTCCGATTTCATAGTTTTTCAGCACACCATGAACTGATAAAATCCCAGTACAGTGTCATGTTTTAAACATAAAAAACAACCAAAAACAACTTAGAAGTAAATAAATTATTCTACACGGTATTTGCACATATTATGCATTCATGCACAATGAATTTAGCTGTTTAGATATTCAAGAATGCGTGCCAAGAAAACGCGTCGAACGCTTTGATAAACACACTGCTATCGTTACAGGGATGTGCACATGTCGAGAATTACATCCTATTTTACGTTTATTGAAATATGCATCTCAGAAGTAATGGATTCCATTTATAACTCAACGGTAACACTGTCACTGTATAAAACGTGGACACACGTGGTCCCTGTCGATCAGCTTTTTTGGTGAGGGAAAATTTCAAAGGGGGAAGTTTCACTGGTATATTGCGTGGTTGGAGAAAATGCGCAAATAAAACGTTTTACAAAATCAAAATTACAGTTGTCTTTAGATGTGATTAATCTTATTTATAAATGTGGCTAAATAAAATAAAATTTTTTGTGATGCACATTTCATTAAATGGAATTTAGGGTGTAAATAACTTTGCATGTAAACATCTTCGAACCGGTGCAGTGATCTAATTACCCGGTATGGATAAGTTTACAGCGTTCGACGCGTTTTCTCGACATGCATCATGTGCATGTGAACATGCATAGCAAAGACGTTGGTTGTTCTTTCCATTCTAATGATACATAATTTTTAGGGATGTCAACGAGTACCCTGTTAACCGGGTACTCGATCGAACGTCCGAGTATCGAATACTAAAAATGGTACTCGGTTACTCGGATGTGTATTTTTTCTTATTTCAAAGTACATATTTGTATCAAAAACTTAAAAAAAAAAATAACTGAAATATGCATACGGGTAATTAGCGTGTCGTCATCTACAAGTAAACATCCGTTATCGCCTATGGCTGTGTATATACAGTAATTAGTGACCAATCACCTGGTACGCAGCTGTTCTCACCTATTGTGGTCCTTAATTTTTGGAAGGCTTCAATGATTGTTTTATCTTCAAATCATTTATTTACCAGGTGATTGGTCACTAATTGTTGTATATACACAGCCAAAGGCTTAACTTATTATACGGCAGCGAAATTGGAAATGCATAGAAATGCCGCTACCCACTTCAAAATACATGTAAGTATAGATTTAAAAAAATGTTTAAAGACAGTTTCCATAGTAAGTTTAGTGTATACGGAGGAAACAACCAACGTATGAAAAAATATTAAAGTAACGACCCAAACAACGTCCATTCCTTCTCTTTCGCTAATCTAATCATCTCAAACCTGCGTAACAGATCGTCCCCCTTTTGTGTTGATGAAATAGATCATAAACAAGAACTGTAGACCATTTGTAATTTTTGATGTATTAATTGTGTCTTTAGTACAAAATTAATTTCTGTTGGACCCCATGTTTATATACATTTATAAAACGTGATAAAAACAGCTATTGGGTTCAACAAATTAACAATTAAAAATTAACAAACTTGTATTTAAATTTTTAACGAGAACTCGGGTACTCGATCGGAAAAACGTCCGAGTAACCGATTATCAAAAATTGACCGATTTGACATCCCTAATAATTTTAAATTGCATGTGTTTACGAGTTTTACCCTCTATTATTTAAATTTTATTTGGCATATATTGGCGTACTTTTAAAAATACACGTGTAATTATGTTTTTCCTTCAAACTTGCATTTTTTTTTTACCTTTGTAATTCAAAAAATAATAATTCATAAATATCATTATAACTGTTTATATTTGTCATGGTTTTGATACGTTTTGATCAATTCATGCATTCCAAAGTGCTTTACCATCAGAGATGTGCACACGTCGATAACCAAACCAAATATTCACTCAAGTGTAACGAGCGCATTTGGGTATATATCGTAACAATAAGACAATGTATCTGAAAGAAATATGGCGGAATGCGGTATAGTTGGTATGATACAAGTCGTACATAGATGAAATGAAATATATGGAGATAACGAACTGTATTCAAGCTCAAAAGTCTATTAAACAATACAAAATAGGAGCGGAGCAAACACGGACCTCCAACACATCAGAGGTGGGATCAGCTGCCATGGAGGAGTGAGCATCCCCTGCCGACCGGTCACACCCGCCGTGTGCTCCTTGTCATGGTTGGGAAATAACGGAAAAATCCGTCGACAATTCCGAGTGTAAATAATGGCCTACCAATTAGTATGAAAACGTTAGTCAGCATTTGACTCAATGATAAATTGTATTTGCTGACAAGGTCATAGTATCGACCATAGAACTTACGAAAAGATGACTTTAAACGAGACTGCTGGTATTCTTGCTTCATCATCTTGTTTGTCAATAATTTACCTCGTTTTAGAAATTGTACATACGTAGAGAATGCTCCTGCGTATCAAATTAACTGAGAGATATAAACCCCGTATGCAGGTGATGAAGGTATATTGCTGCATAAGTAAGGGAAAATGACTTTTGTGAGAATTTATCAATTCTGTTCAATTTCTTACCTTGACCTCCCAAATAACCCTTGACTTTTCTAAATTGTATAAAACTCTGTTTTAAAGAAAGAATTATAGATATTTTCAACAAACTTCATACACTTAAACAAATTTTCATGGTACATTACCATGCGGGGCATTCATTTCCTATGGACATATTTCAAGTATTAAAAGCGACTGCAGTTATATACATTGGCCAGTAAGCGATCTTTCATGGTTCTATCAAATAATAACCTACGTGGATAGCCAGTGCACCACGAATGAGCAAATACCGATGTCGATACTGGATGCCGGAAGACAACGTTCATAAACACTGCTAGGATTGATGAATATTCGGAGGAAGGGATCATTCTCTTCTTCTTGAAATCCTAAAAAGCATGTACGTATTTGATTAAGGTGGAAAACAAAGTTCACATACAAAGACTGAACACTGCAAGTCAATCATAAAACATAAAATCCATATCTCTATCATTCAAATCAGAAACAGCTGTTGTGAATTTCTGTTTTGAAGCTTTAGAAGTGGATATTTTTGCTTGTTTTCGTATTTTGAAAGGAGTTGATTTAAATATTCAAATGAATGTTATCAGAAACCAAAAACGGGCAAGTTAATCGCGTGGCACAGTGGATTGAGCGTTTACTCTATACTCTCAAAGTAAGGAGTGTATCCTAACGTTGCGGGTTCGAATCCCACTGCGAGGCGCGGAGACCGGTCCTATTAACCGAGGTCCCGTGTCGCAGTAGCTGCTGGCACGGAAAAGATCTCTCACTGTTCAAAGGCCGTAAGTGCCGAGTACAGGTCTTAATTTGCAGCACCCCTCCAGCAAGCGTTGGCTTCTTAATACAAGTGAAACATTCTTAAATGGATGTTAAACAAAACAAGGCAAGGTTGAAAACATAGTCAAATAATTGACAGTCAGACTTGACCATTTAGGATCCGATTTATTTTTTTAACTTACGTAGAAATGCCATATTCATAGCAATCATCAGATAAAATATTCACAATCATGTGACGAACAAAGAGAACCTGCAATATTCCTGACCAAAGCGTTGAAATCGTTTGTCTTCTGATCGTTGAGGTAAACAGCAATTTCTCGACATTGTGACTTGTTTCGAATTTGTTCTGAAAATGATTAACAATAGTATGTTATGTCAAGCACAAACTTGCATTTGAGCTAAATGTGGTTTATAATATTTTGACTTTCTGGTATAAAATGGACAGGTTGAGTTGACCTTATTTTTTTAGGTTACCTGAGTTTACTCAGTTGACTTATTGCTATCCGTTTTCGTCCGTCGTCGTGCGTTAAAATTTGAACATTTTTCAAAATTTGTTTTGTTTTTCCTCCTCTTTTTTTCTAAAAATACTCTAAATATTGTTTTTGTTGAGCACTTTAACATAAAAAGACCCGTATTGGAAGGGTGGCCTGGCCCTCGATACTAGTTACAGTTGGAGGGATGGACTCTTTTTTTTTATGTAGAAAATCCCTATGTAATGAGGGTCATGTTTGTATATGTGTAAGTTATATTACTATTGTTATAAAAAAAAAAAATTAAACAATCAATTATATATGCATAAAAATATATATACATGTACATTTGAACATTTTCAGCTTTTTCTCCGAAAAGGCACACGCAATTTCAACCAATTTTGGCATAGAGCATATATGGGTAAAGGGGAACAAAAATTGCGAATTTCATGGTCCCTGCCCCCCCCCCCCCCCGGGAGCCTGAGGGGTGGAGCCAAAACAACTAAAATTAATGCAATCTTCAAAAATTTTGTTCTTTACACCTGGACATAAAGCAGTCAAAATGTTGGCATGATTGTTTGTTTAACGTCCCTCTCAAGAATTTTTCACACATATGGAGACACCACTACTTGCCCGAGGAGAGCTGCAAATTTTGACCTATACTCGGCACTCAGGGCCATTGAGCAGTGAAGAATCTTTTTAATGCCAGCACCTACTGCGACACGGAACCTCGGTTAATACGGTTTCATCCGAAGGACCGGTCTCCACGTCCCACAGTGGGATTCGAACCCGCGACGTATGGATCAAGTCCTTACTTTGCGACTCTAGAGCAGACGCTCTACCACTGCGCTACGTGGGCATGATTGTACTAAGCATTTAGCCCTCTGCCCAAATTGTGAAAATCATGACCCCATGGTGAGGGGTTTTGGTGCTAGGGCGGGGTCCGTTGAATATACATGTATAGTGAAAATGCATTTTTTTTAAATCTCCTCCTCTCCTCCTGGGTATTAAACAAACTAAATGGATACTAAGTTATGATCAGGAAGGATGCCTCTTCGAAAATTGTGAATTTCTTGGCCCATGGGTTAAGGGCTCTGGTGTTTGGGCGGGGCTATATTGATCATACAGTGAAACTGCATAAATTCTTTAAAAATCTTCTTCTCTACCCCTGTATGTAAAGCAGATCAACTTGATGCATGGTTATGATGATTCGCGCGTGAATAAGTGTTTCAAAAGATTATACAGAGCAATTACCACAATTCGTGAAAATTTTGTCTTCTTAATAATGTGTAATGAAATATGAAGAAAACGTACACTATTCAAACTGGAAAGTCCACTGAAACGATACAAATTTGGAGCGGAGCAAACACGGATCTCAAAATTTAGAGGTGGGATCAGGTGCCATGGAGGATTGTCATCCCCTGCCGACCGGTCACACCCGCCGTGTGCTCCTTGTCATGATCGGGGAAAACGGAAAAATCTGTAGACAGTTCAGTGTACAAATAATGGCCTAACAATTAGTATGATATATATATATATATATATATATATATAGATAGATAGATAGATAGATAGATAGATAGATAGATATATAAGGATAAAAAAGTATTTTGCGGAAATAGTTGTCGCGAAAATTTAGTGATCTACAATAGTTATGATGAGCAAGGGCGCCTCTTCCAAAATTGTGGTCAGGGGTTCTAATGTTAGGGCGGGGCTCTTTTGATCATATAGTGAAAATGAATAAATTCTTTAAAAATTTTCTTCCCTGACCATGTATATAAAAAGAAAAACTAGGTGCATGGTTGTGATGATCACGGTGAAATTGTGAAATTTGTGACCCCAGGACGAGGAGTTCTGCTGGGGAGGGGGGGGGGTCTTTGATTATATAGTGAAAGTGCATTATTTACAATGGAAAATGCATTTTATTATCAAACAGAATATTATTTGCAAATCTTAGGTAGACCATATATACAAATCTGAAACCTTTGTATAGTGCCATAATTTAAAAACTATGGAGAATGTATTGAATTAATTCTACCGTGTTTTTGTCTACAGGGTTAGCATGTTTCACGCCCAGGTGCCTCATTAAATTGCCTTTTCGCAAGGGCATACACTAAATAGACCTTGACCATTTTTTGAATATAAATGAAAGAAAAAGTGAGCAAGCTCACATACCCCACGCTCCCCCAAACTCGACAATGCAACACGTAATAAATGGCACAGTGCATTTTAAAAACACTGTATAATTCAAAAAGGGACATTACTTGCAGAAAATAATCACATCAAAACTTCTCGCATATAAGGACATTCAAATCTTTGTATGTTACAAATTTAATTGGGCTGAAGTTTCTAGACAAATAATGGAATCAAAATTGCTTTGTTATATACAAATCTATACATTATGTCTGAAATACCTACATGTACAAAGTTTCAGAAAATTCAGTACAGAAGTTTTGCTGACAAACTGTTATTTAAATTCCTCAGTGATTTCGATTTGTTAATGAGTGTAAGTCCATGTCCAACACATGACAATTTACACATTTAAATAATTGTCGGAAACAAAATTATCATGTAGTCATATGAATTTGTTTATATACTGTACTTATGACATTATTTAAGGCAAAGCACCAATTGGGGGGGGGGGGGGTAGGTAAGAACTATCAACGATTGTGTGTGTGTGTGTGTGTGTGTGTGTGTGTGTTAAATCATTAATATTTTGATCTGAAAATCAATAGGGGTCTTTTAAGGTCATACAATATTTCACATAAAATTTTATACAAAAGCTGATTCCAGTGGATTTCCTTATTACCTAGCTGGAAAGTTTTTTCAATAATAGGCAAAACTCTTAAGGCAAAAATAATGGAATCGGAATTCCCTGGTAATATGCACATCTATACTGTGTACTAAATATCTGCAAAGTTTGACGAAATTCTGTGCAGCGATTTATGAGGAGTTGCGCTGACAAACTGTTCATCTCTATATTCAAGATATGGCCAAAAATCTAAGTTGAAAAGTGCCGAAATTCCCAGAAAAAAATAAAGGAATTGGAATTTCCTGGTAATATGCACATCTACACATTTTGTCCTAAATATCTGCAAAGATTGACGAAATTCTGTGCAGCGGTTTATAAGGAGTTGCGCTGACAAAAAAAAAAACAGGATTGACGGACTGACTGACGGACGGGTCAAAAATATACCTCACGCAACTTGTTGCGTGGGGTATAATAACGGACACATTCCTTAACATGAAAAGTGCTGCTGCTTTCCTGAAATCGAAAGCATAACTTAATAAATACATAAAATACTTGGTAAAAGTCATACATATTTCGACTCAAGCCAGATAACTTGAAATTTAAACTAATAAAATGCTAATTCTATTTAAAGCAGCAGCACTTTCCATAAACTACAAGTTATGTAGAAACAATCTATTACTTTAATTTTTAATTTTAACTAGGGTATGCCCTTGCGATATTGAAATTTGTTTGTGACCTACATACTGTACACTATACATGCATTTATCACGAGACTGTCAAAAAACTTGACCAAGCCAAAGTCAGTGCAGAGTGGGGTATACAATGTAATTTCAAATGATATCAAACGTCATGTGGTAATATAGTACCTTTACAAACAAAAATTCAGTTTTAAAAGATATGTATTTATGAACGTTTATATTCCGTTGATTTCTTAGAAGTACGCCTTATCATTGCTGTGCACTGTTCTTTAGTAAATTTAAATGAAATCCCTTAAAATACAGCATACAAGATTTATGCCCATGTTCCCGAAAAAAGAAGAAAACACGTTTTTTAGAGAGAAGATCCAAAATTATTCAACCTCGGGGTTAACAAAACCCTTATGTTATTGAGGGAAATCTGTTTAAGGATTAAATATTGATACACTTTTGTGACACCATTCTTCTCCTGGATCCTGAAACAGACCTAGACTCCAGTGAAATTTTCAATCGTCTATAAAATGTTTATTAATTGTCCAATACTATCTCTAAATTTGCAGATAGCAGTACTTTGGTGATACAATATTGCAAAACATACTATTTTGAAATGAGATTATTGGTTGATCAAACATGAATCTGCAAAAGATGACCGAGTCAAGTCCAAGCCTTGCAATTCCGTATTAGGTTAGGGCTCCTCAGTGCCACAGTTTGATTTTATGGCATGGTTGTAGATTTCACAAAATGTACCGGGTACTCTTTGTTTTAAAAATATTATTCGAAATCATTTTCCTTACATTTTAATGAAGAGCTGTACCCCCATTGTGACCCAACCTACCTTAGGAATAAGTAATTGAACAAACTTGTATCTATTATGAACTAACATGTTTGCATCCAAGTTTCGGGTCTTGTAAGCATATTCTTGAAATGGTTTTTCTAGAAGTGTCCTAAACAACCAGCATCAGGGCTTTCTATGGTAGCACTAATGTAGGAATGTCAACAATAATTTCGGATAAGTAGCGAGCATTAAAAGACAAAAGCCCTTGGGGCCTAAGCGGTCACCTGAGTATAATACAAGACTGTAAAGTATCCATACAAGTATATAATAGAACAAAACTGATAGATGAAGATATCTTACCAATAAGGAATAGGTTGATCAGGGATCAACAGAATACTTTAGTACTTATTAACAAGAAACCCAAGGGCCTAGAATCGCTTTTCTGAGAAGTTGTACAACTTATCTCTTCTATTTAAGCCTCATAGATCCCGCTTATAACGATATAGCCTTGAAATTTCAAAGGTCGGTCAGTATGACCTACATTTTATTTAACATACTCTGAAACCCAAGATGCATCAACCGAATAAAAAGTCAGAATTTGATGATTCAAAGCGCCTTATTTTCCTAAATATTCAGATTTAGCCATAAAATGCCAAAAAAGGCCAAAGTGTCCTACTTTTTGGTAAATATACTCTGAGACCCCAAGATGTATCGACTGACAAAGCTTCCAAGTCTCTTTTTATTTGTATAATTTAGATATCGACTTCATCCAAATGTAGGTCACAGTGATCTACTTTTTAGTTGAAATACTCCAAGGACATAAGGTGCATCAACTAACAAATTTTGAGGACTCTAAGCCTCCTAATATCTGAAATAATTAGGTACTGCCTCATCACTCCAAAAGTAGGTTGCGGAGACTAACGTTTTAATCGTTGCATTCCAAGAATCACAGATCCATCATCTGACAAAGTTAAATGATCCTTAGCCACTTAGTAACTGAAATATTAAATAAAAGCCATGGAATTCCACAAGTAGGTCACAGTGACCTCCTTTTTAATTAACACACCTCCAAGCCCAAGATGCATCAACTGACAAATTTTGATGATTCTAAGCCAATTAGTATATGAAATAGCCATCGAATTCCAAAACTTTGTCGAGGTGAGCTACTTTTTGGTGACACACTTTGAGGACAACGATGCATCGACTGACACAGTTTAATGATTCTTAGCAAATAAGTATCTGAAAAGCCATCAAATTCCAAAGGTAGGTCAAGGTGACCTACTTTTTGGTTGACACACTCCGAGTACCCAAAATGCATTAACTTTTTTGTTAAGTATGTTTTAAGGCCCCAAGGTGCATCAACTTACAAAGTTTAATGATTCTAAACTCTTAGCATCTGAAATAATGACCTTTAATGTTTGAAAAAATTGAAAAGTATCAGAAAGTAGGTAATGGTGACCTTATTATTGGATGATACACTTTAAGGTCCCTTAATGCATAAACTGACAAAGTTTGTTGATTCTAAGACTGAAATATCCATCAAATTCTAAAAGTAGGAAACGGTGACCTACTTTTTATTTAACACGCTTTGACGACACCGATGCATCAACTGACAAAGTTTGATGATTTTAAGCGAATTAGTATATGAAATAGCCATTATATTGCAAAATTAGGTCACGTTGACCCATTGTATAGCTTACACACTTTATTGACTCACGATGCATCAACAAAGAGGGTTTGATTATTCTTCGTCAATTCGTAATTGTAAAATTGAAATTTATCCAAGAAATTCCAAAAGTAGGTCAGAGTGACCAACTTTAGGGTTGACCCACTCCGGAGACAGACTCAAGATGCTTCAACTGACAAAGTTTAATTATTCCATGCCGATTATAATCTGAAATATTACAATCAAGCCATGAGATTGCAATTGTAGGTCAAAATTACCTTATTTTTGGATGATACACTCCGAAGACTCAAGATGCATCAATTAACATAGTTTGATGATCCTATTCTTCAAAGTTTCCAAAATATGCCTCTAAAACAATTTGAAAATGAATACCTGTTAAATTAAAAAAAGAAGGTAACTGTGACCTACTTTTTGACAAATATATCTTAAGGCCCAAAGGTGCATCAACTTACAAGGTTTGATGCTTCTTAACCTCCTTGTACCTGAAATAATGACCTATAATGTTGAAAAAAAGATTAGCCATAAAATTTCAGAGAGTAGTTCATGGTGACCTTCTTTTTGATTGACACACTTCAAGGTCCCTTGATTGACAATATTCTCCTTGTACTGGTCAATCCTTCTGTTTATACAACAAAACTAGAGCTTAAACAGCCTATATGTTTTTCCTTTACACGATAACTCGTACATCAGCCATGTCTTGATCGTCTTTCTCACATGAGTTTTCTTTCCTTAAAACAGTATGCCGTACAAATTATTTAATAGTGATTTGATTTTGTAATGATTTAATTAAATATAGTTCTATTTTAAGATTTTTTTAAAGGTTTAGTACCTGTAAATATATTTATCGAATTTCTTTTACCATACGTGCAACTTGAAAGTAAGATGAAATGCCTACATTATTGCTTAATATGGCTTATGCATTTGTAGTCATCCCATTTATCTCACATTTGCCTCTGTGTTTTTGAACATTTTATATACAAAGATGAGGTACTTCTGTGTCATTCTGATATAAATATTATTAAGAAGTCTATCTGATCATTTACAACTACGAAAGTACTTTTTGACTCTTTTTATAAAATATGATTGTATATTTTTTTATCACATGTTTACTCTTTATACAGCGGATATAGCTCATAGGATATCGTTTTCATATCCACGTTTGTGACGTCACAATGGCTTTTGCATGAATTTGATCAAGTCCAGTATTAATCAAGGATAGAGGGTAAAACATGAAATAGCTATGTGTTAAACATGTGATAAAAAGAATCTCCCATGGGTTGTGGTTAGATATGATTTTTTAGCCAACTCGTGTGTTGTTATGCTCTCTCCAAGGCTCGGGGATAAAAACACAGCTCGTTGGATAATAAATCATATCCAACCACAAAACATGGGAGATCCTATATTTATTGAATTGTCCTATCAGACACATTATCATTATTTAGAGTGATTAATCATCATAGGTGAAAACCAAAGGGGAAAATAACCATATCTAAAAAAAAAAATGTTTATGTATGAGGTCTCTGTTCCTTCAGTTCAGAAGCGAAAACGAACTAAAGGAGGTAGAGATCGTTTAAATTACATTATATTTAGTAAATGCAAACCTGTCATGGAAACGGACCCCCAACACTGCCCCTCCAGATTGTCTATTTGTCTTTATTAAGCGGCACGTGCACGAACCTTTAGTTTTTTATGTGCATCACGCAGAAATCCGCAAATGTCCACCACACAGAAATTCAAAAACTGGTTGTACATGCAATTTTGACGTTAAAATTGACATGCATGTTAAGGATAGACGGAGTTAGTATTCTCCTCTTATAATTTTCCAACTCTGAAAACATCGACGCGGGTTAGTGTGAAGGATTACTTCCCATTCTCACTATGCATTCTGTCTCGGTTTATAAAATTTAATCTTGTTGGGTAACTAGAACTTTACAGAATAATACAGGATATGTTTGTGAAACACTGATGTCCCCGTACAGCACACAGGCACTTTGGGTATGGACCCCCCCCTTTTTTCCATTTTCTTTTCTTTTTAAATCTAGGGTCGAGTCACCTTTTTCCTATTTTTATATTCAAATATGCTTTTTGTTATCAATAATGTAACTCTTTTGTGTCTATATGCTGTTTTTATATATACCGTTTTCGACTGATACATAAAAAGAGAGAAGGCTTGAAACTCTTTTCTCGTCGTCTGCCTCACCTTGCGTAAACTTCGCCTGATTATTTATCAAAAACATAAGAACACATGGAATTTGCATACATCAATAAATTTGTTACGCATTTTTCTCCCTTTTCATATTTCCACTTAATTTTTATGTGCCCCCGATTTGTAAATATTTCGATTAAATCAACTACATCTAGGGTAAATTTTGTTGATGTGCAAGTCAAACTCCAAGGTCTAGGATAAGATATCAACAATATTGGTACCCAATGGAAGGTCTTGTCACAAGAAACACATCCTGTGAAATATGAATACTCTAGCACTAATTGTTCAAAAGATATGGCAAAAGTTAATTTTTTTTTCAAAAGTGAAGTCAAAGTCAAAATATTTGGTATCCAAAGTTTTGTCATAAGGAATACACATGTATAATATGAAAGTTTATCACTGATCGTTCAAATGTATGACGAAGGTTAAAGTTTTTCGAAAGGAGGTCATACTAATAGATTAAGGTCAAAGGGTCAAAATAGCTGGTGCCCCAGGGACGGTCTTGTAAGAAGGAATACATATGTGCTGTGAAATATGAAAGCCCTAGCACCGAGCGTTCGAAAGTTTAGGCCGTAGTTGAAGTTTGGTTAATTTTTGCAAAAGTGGGTCTAATGCCAGGTTAAGCTTACATGTAATAAGACAAATACGTTGGTACCCAGAAAAAAGATTTTTTTTCACAAGATTAAAATAGTGAAATATGAAAGCAATACCTTCAACTAATCAAACGTTATCGACAAGGGTATAAAGTTTTCGTGGACAAACAGACAGACGGACGGACATAGCAAAACCTGTATGCCCCGAGCCTTCGGTTACCGCGTGTGTTTCTGGTTGTACCACTTGATTTTTATTAATTGAGAATGATGGTTGAAATTGAAAGAGTAAAAGGAAAAAAAATCCCTACCTATCAGAATTTTCAGAAATGGGCAAAAAGTGCTTCCTAGACACGTACTAAAATCCACTATGTTGATGGGACGGTCAATCTTTGAATCAAAACCTTACAATTGAAAGGAGAGGAAAATTTAACAATAGGTAATTCGTAACTTTGCATTTAAATTTTTTAAAAAGGTATACTTTTTTCTTCTAGTGTTTAAAATCAAATTGATTTATTTAAGATCAAAGGTTACTTATATCTAAATTACACCAGGTGCTACTCACTTAAAAATTTCAGAACAGGTTCCACACAAGGCTCAAGAAGAGTATGGAAGAGATCCGGATATAAAACGCTCATCATTTTATATTCCATCTTGGATTACTCTCATTCAAGAAGCAGGTAAAGGATATGTGTTTTATTTTTAGGGCTTCGATTGTTTTAACGGTATATTTAAAATATGCATTTTAAGACGTGCGAGTGCGTAATTTCTGTGAAATTATTTGTAACTTCTCACCCCTTTCGTGATAAATTGTGTACATTTTTGAACTTAAACTGGCAATTTCTTCAATGCTTTTGGAATATTTAAGCGCGCGTGAATATATTACCAAATTTAATGTATACATTGACGTCTTTTGCTAATAACTCTCTCTTCTTCTTTGTAATTTAGAACAAGAACACTGACGAGGCAGTGCCCCGCAGAGGGATATTTATCGACGGTAGCTGCTATCTGTTTTCGTCCGTTGTCGTCCGTCGTGCGTTAACTTCTGAACATTTTCAACTTCTCCAAAACCGCTATACCAATTTCAACCAATTTTATTTGGCACATAGCATGTATGGGTGAAGGGGAACAGAAATTGTGAATTTCATTGTCCCTGCTCCCCTGGGGCCTGAGGGATGGGGCTAAAACCACCAAAATTGATGCAATCTTTAATCATCTATTCTTTACTCCTGGACACTGAGCAGTCAAACTGTTGGCATGATTGTAATGAGCATTGGGCCCTCTACCAAAATATATAGATCATGTAGTGAAAGTGCATTATTTCTTTTGAAAATCTTCTCTTCTCCAGGGTATTATTTAAACAAACTAAGTGTATGGTTATGATGCATAAGGATGCATTTTCTAAAATTGTGAATTTCATGGCCCCTGGGTCAGGGGTTCTGGTGTTAGGGCGGGGCACTATTGATTGATTGATTGTATGTTGTTTAACGTCCCTCTCGAGAATTTTCACTCATACGGAGACGCCAACACTTGCCGGTGGAGAGCTGCAAATTTTATCCTATACTCGGCAATTACGGCCATTGAGCAGTGAGGGATCTTTTTCGTGCCAGCACCTACTGCGACACGGGACCTCTGTTTATACGGTCTCATCCGAAGGACCGGTCTCCAGGTCCCACAGTGGGATTCGAACCCGCGACATATGGATCAACTCCTTACTTCACGATCTCTAACCACTCCGCCGCTCGGGCGACCGGGGCACTATTGATTATATATTAGTGAAAATGCATTCATTCTTTGAAAATCATCTACTCTGCTCCTGGGTATTATTTAAACAAACTAAGTGCTTGATTATGATGCACAAGGATGTCTTTTCCAAAATTGTGAATTTCATGGCCCTGGGTCAGGGGTTCTGGTGTTAGGGTGGGGCTCTATTGATTATATAGTGAAATAGTGCATTAATTCTTTGAAAATCTTTTTCTCTGCTCATAGATATAATTTAAACAAACTAAGTGCATTTACAATTTGTTATAAAACTTGTGGTCCCAGGTTTTGGTATTTCGCGGGGGGGGGGGGGGGGGGGTTATTGATAATATAGTGAAAATAGTGGTGATAATTCTTTGAAAATCTTCAACTAAATGCATATTTATGATGATGAGGGTACTTCTACCACATTTGTTAATTTTTTGACCCTGTGACATGGGTTTTAGTGTTATGTGTTGAATCTATAGTGAAAATGCATTATTTTCTTGAAAATCTTCTCTGCTCCTTGGCAAATCGAAGGCAAACAGAATAAAAGTTTTAATAAGCAAGGATATTTTTACCAGACCTTTGAACATCAGGACCATTTGATCAAGTGTTCTGGTCCTGGCCAGCGCTCTATTAATTTGTATTCTACTGACTGAACTTATCCCCCTTTGCCTTTCACTTTTAATAATTAATGACTGTAAATAATGTATTTGAAAGTCAATAGACTAAAAGAATTATGCAAAAAATGATATTGGATACAATGTAACACAAAAAGTACTTTCTTAGTTTTAATGATCAGGTAGACTTGTAAATAATAAATAAATGAAAATGAAACAAAAATAACTTATCTCATTAAATGTTCTTCAAAGACCAAGAGAGACCAAGGTGAGAAGTCACAATATGGGATTAAAAGTGGTACAGAAGAAATAATAGTTTGTTAATTGTCTGCATTGTGATAGTAAAAAATGGGGGATAGATTAGACTTTAATTTATGAGCTGTTACTGAATACTAGACTAATTATTTCATTGATCCTGATCATCCTATTTCTCTTGCTTTTGGGCAACAAAGCTTCATCTATCAGTTTATTTTATACTTTATGGATCCTCTAAATTGTTGTACTATACTCAGGTGATCGTTAAGACCCTTGTGCCTGTTGTTGTTATTGAAAACATGGTGTTAAAAAGAGGCCCATGGGCCACAACGCTCACCATTAATAATTTTGGCCCTGCTGTTCTTCACTAGACTTTCCCCAATGTAATACACCTATTGTGGTCCCATCCTATCCCAGGGGTCATGATTTTAACAATTTAGAATCTACACTACTCCAGGATACTTCCACATAAGTTTCAGCTTGTCTTTTTTTTTTAAGATTTTTTTTCTTTTTTTGAAAGATTTTTTCTGTATATTTCAATGTAAAACTACCCCTGGGGGTCATGATTTTTACAATTTAGAATCTACACTTCACCAGGATACTTCCATATAATTTTCAGCTTTTCTCACCCAGAGGTTCTTGAGAAGAAGATTTTTAAAGATTTTTTTTATATATTTCAATGTAAAACTTGGATTCACTATTGTGACTCTGCCCTACCCCAGGGGTCATGATTTTTTACAATATAGAATATACACTACCCCAGGATGCTTCCTCATCAATTTCAGCTTTTCTGGCCCCGTGGTTTTTGAGAAAAAGATTTTAAAAGATTTTTTCTATATATTTCAATGTAAAACTTGGATTTCCCATTGTGGCCCCACCCTACCCCCGGAGGTCATGATATTATCAATTTAGAATTTACACTTCCCCAAGATGCTTCCACATAAGTTTCAGCTTTTCTGGTCCGATGGTTCTTGAGAAGATGATTTTTTAATGACCCCACTCTATTTTTGCCTCTTCTCGATTATCTCTCCTTGTAAGGGGGCTTAGCCCTTCATTTTTAGAAATTTACCTTTCCCTTAACCCAAGAATGTTTTGTGCCAGTATTGGTTAAAATTGGCCCAGTGGTTCTTAAGAAGAAGTTGAAAATGTGAAACGTTGACAGACAGACGGACGGACAATGGGTGATCAGAAAATCTCACGAGCTTTCAGCTCAGGTGAGCTAAAAATAAATGCCTCTGAAAATACACAAGTTTTAAAAATTGAACAATCAGACGAAATAAAATGTTAACAGCATGCAGATGATTGCACTTTGCCAATGAAAAATCCAGAATCAATTATAAGCGTCTAATAAAGTCATACAATCTTTTGGGAAAATGTCAGGTACTAAGTTAAATTTAGAAAAAACAGAGGGTATTCTCTTGGGACCCATTAAAAACAAACGAGAGGATATAGAAGGAACTAAAAGGACAAATAAACATATTAAATCACTGGGAATTTTCTTAAGGCACGACAAAGTATCTAATAGTGAGAAAAATTGGTTGCATAAGAATCTGAATTTGAAAAAAAAAGATTTATAGAGAACAAGAAACTTAACTTTTTTTCGGAAAATGTACCGTTGTTAATTCACTCGTAGTATCTAAATTATTATATGTGTTAAAAGTTCTCGAAAATCCAGATGTAGAATATATTAAGAGTATAAATAAAATTATATACATTTTTTATGGAATAAGAGAGAGAGAGAAAGAATTAAACGCAATGCACTGATAAGGCCAATAAATGAGGGTGGTCTTGGTTTAATCGATATTGAATGCAAACTTAAAAGCGTAAAAGCCGGATGGATCAAAAGACTTTACAATAAAAACTCCACGCTTAGAATTTTTTTTTTTTTAGATAACCCGTTAAAAAGTTATGAGTGAACTTTGAATATCTGTCGTAGTAATATTATAAATCCGAATGATTTCAACGTGTTAAACAAATTCTCGAAATTTTACAAGGATATTTTTGTAGTTTTAACGAATGAATATTGTTATCATCACCACATAATAAAATTGCAGAAAACTTATGGTTAAACAGTTTCATTAAACACAACAACAAAAAACAAAACACTATATCTAAAAAAAAGTGGGCAAGAAGTGTTTTTCTATACGTAAAAGATTTGTTTACAACAGAAGGTATGAAAGACATTACGGATGTAAAAGAGAACATTGAATCAAAGAGTAAATTACTTGTATGAATATCTAATAATGAAAAAAGAAATCAAAAAGCTAAATATAGATTACTGTAATGTAAAAATCACTAATATTCAAAAACCCTATTTTTACTTTCAAGGAAAAAGTAAAAGCCAAGAATTTGAAAAATCAGGATTTTATTATAAAATTCTACTTTCTGAAAAGAAGCAAGAGCCAATAATGGAAACGAAGTGGTCAAAAGAATTCAATATCACAAATGGTCAATGGACAAATATTTTTACAGCTAAGGTATTTAAAATATTTGATAAACAGCAGAATTCAATTTTAAACTTTTACGTACATGTGTAACCACTGAATTGTAATTATAATGTAAGTAAATGGAATAAAGAGGTGGGGAAAAGTTGTGGACAAGTAGAATATATTGAACATCTAATTTTAGAATGTTCAGATTCAAAAAGATTATCGGAAAAAAATATATAAAATATTGAAATTGAATATATCCTGGAAAAATATTGTAGGAGTTTAACGACACATCACATTTTTTTAATAATGTCACATCAATTGTAGGTTACAAAATATACAAGTATAAATGGAAATTTAGATTGCAAAATGAAAACGTAAATGCAGATGCAATGTTATCCTTTTTTTAAAATCATCAATTGTACCAGTATTATTTAATAGCAAAGGATGCAAAACGTGTTAAATCGAATTACATCTTAATATAAAAAAAATTTAGCTGACCAAATGTGATGTGATGTTTTGAATATAATATAATATTAAATATAATATTAATATAATAAATATAATATTAACATCGGGCATATATCAAATTAATTTAAAGAATACAAACATTGTTT